CCAGAGTTCCTCAGCCAGCAAAGCTGGCTGAGGAACTCTGGGAATTGAAGTCCACAAGTCTTAAAGTTACCAAGGTTGGAGACCACTGCTCTAGACCCCCCCACTAGGGAGGAAAGACTGGGCCATCGACTGCCCTGCGTGCTAAACAGACAATTCCTTTTCAAATAAGCCGTTAAGAACCTTGTCCATCATCAGCTGGGCAGAGGGCAGTATGTTGTCAAGAGCCTCGGTCGAGTTGAGCCAAGGGTGATCCAGAACGCCTTCCGTGGTCAGTCTCTCTTCCGGTTTTACCTTCAGCAGCCTGTGGGTTTTTTAAGGAAACGGGCCCATCACTCAGTTGACCCTTGAAGGCAGGGGTGTCCAACCCCCGGCCATTTTTAAGACCTGTGGACTTCAACTCCCAGAATTCCCCCGTCGGTCGAAATCCACAGCTCTTAAAAGCTGCCAAGGCTGACGACTCCTACTCGAAGGTTCCCAGGCGGTTTTTCAATGGACTGCAACCGTTTGGTGGGCGCTCCTAAAACCAGCAAAACGGAGGGCCAAAGCCCTGCTGGCCATCGGCCCAACCTCGGCTGGCAGGAAGGAGGCAGAGCGGGCAAGAAGAGGCCGTTCTTACTTGCGGACAATGTCTTTCGCCATTTCTGAGATCTGGCTCCACTCTTCCTCTGGGAACTCAAAGCTTCCCGTCATGATTTTTTTCCTCATGTCCTTCGGAATCGTCCGGCTGTGATGCTTCGAGTAGAAGGGCGGGTAGCCACACAGCATCACGTAAATGATGACCCCCAGGGACCATAAGTCACAGCTCTGATAGGAAGAGGGGGAGAAAAAAATACAAACGTTGGATATCTGATGGACGTTGTCTCTCCCCCCCCACCTTCCCCCAGGAGAAAAGTCCTCCCCGCATAACTGAGGCAGAGTCAGCCAAAGGCACTGGTGGGGGGGTCAAACGCCTTACCTTGTTGTAAGTGTATGGGGTTGGTGAGGTAGGGATAATACCACACTTCTCTTTCTGATGTCGCCTCTGTGCCTCCAGAACCTGTTTGGTGAAGAGGAGATAACCTGCAATCATCCGAGCCGAGGTGGCGCAGTGGTTAGGGTGCAGTACTGCAGGCCACTTCAGCTGACTGCTATCTGCAGTTTGACGGTTCTAATCTCACCAGGCTCAGGGTTGACTCAGCCTTCCATCCTTCTGAGGTGGGTGAAATGAGGACCCAGACTGGGGGGGGTGATACGCTGACTCTGTAAACCGCTTAGAGAGGGCTGAAAGCCCTATGAAGCGGTATATAAGTCCATAAGTCCACTGGCAGCTCCAGCCTTTTGGAACGAACTCCCCGCGGAGATTC